AGGCATATGAGCTGAACATTTACATTAGTAGATACACTCCTTGGAGAGATCAATCACGGGAGAATAGAAGTGTATCCACAGGGAGACAGCTCAGGGGGCAGGAGTGCATGGAGGGAAGGACACAGGGAAGAGGTAACTATGGGGAGGAAGTGGGAGGGGAGCTGTTGTATTGTGGGAAATTACAGTCAATGTCATGAGACAGAGTGCATGTGAGCTGCTGTATGGAAAGTGAATTTGCTCTGTAAACTTTCACCCAAATCACAATTTAAAAAAAAAAAAAAAAAAAAAAAGGATTGATGCCAAGACACACATAGATCTCTAAAGAACACCATGCCCACAGATGTTAAAAGGAGTCAAGGACTTCCTCTAGAGCCAACAGGGATAGAAAGCCTTCCCCTAGAGCCTGTGCCCTGAATTCAGACTTCTAGCCCCTTAAAAACTGAATGAATAAATGTCTGTTTGTTAAAGCCATCCACCTGTGGTGTTTCTGTTACAGCAGCACTAGGTGACTAAGATAGAATTTGGTGCCAGGAGTACAGTGCTGCTCCAACAGATATCTAAAGTGTAGAAGCAATTTTTAAATTGAGTAATGGATAAAGGCTGGAAAGTTTTAAGCGTAACAGTAAAAGTCTAGTCTGCCTCGAAGAAACAGCTGGTGGAATTATGGATGTCATCGGCAATTCTGGTGTGGGCTCAGAAGGAAATGAGAAGAGCTGGTACACTTGGAGACAAGGCAGACATACAGTGAGAAGCAGTGGCAGAGAAATGGCAGCAGGAGAACCAAAAGACTGGAACAAGATGGTACAGGAGCCAACCACAGAGCAAGAAATCTGTGTATTTTCAGGCTGAAGCTTACTGGCAGAGGGAGTACCTCCAGCCACTTATTGGTAGAGTTAAAGAGCTTTGTTAACACTTGCCCAAGCAGGGCAGAGGCCAGACTGGCCCAAGAGGCCCAAGATGCCAAGGCACAGAGAGGCCAAGGAAGCAGGAAGTAGAAGCTGAAGGGACAAGAAGCATAGGAAACAGAGCTGCCTCAGTCTCAAAGGGTGGAGCCACAATCTCTAGAGTCTCAAAGGATGGAGCCATGGCCTCTGGGGTTTCAAAGGATGAGGCTACATACAGCCTCCTAGGTTTCAAAGAGTCAGATCTTTACCAACTCAGTTCTGGAGTATGAGGCTGCTGTTCAAGAGTGCCAGGAGGTGTGGCTGCTGGGCCTAAGGGACAGAAGAACAGGGTTTGTCAGGGCCAATGGTTGGAGTCATCACTCGGACTAGGAAAATGGGGCACCCAAAGTTGAGAGAGCAGAGTTGCTGTCCCAGCAGCCCTGAAAGATAGGGCTGAGGAGCTTCCACCCTGAATCCAGAGAACATGGCCAACACCCAGATTCTAGAGGGGAGGGCCACTGCCTAAATGGACTCAGAGAACAGAAGATTATTTTCAAACTTTAAGAGCTAATGTAAACTTTTCTACTGGGTTTTTGACTTGTTTGTTGTCCATCATTCCTTCATTCCCTCCAATTTCTCCCATTGTAATGGAAATGTCTACCTTGTACTTGTTCTACCATTATACTTTGGAAGGAGATAACTCATATTCTAGGATTTCACAGATTTAACAGAAGAAGAGCAGTTTTCCCCCAGGATGGAATTTGGACTTAGAGTTGATGTGAATTTTAGGATAATATGATGAAGTGAAAGTGATTTGCACACAGCAAGGACATGAATTTGGGAGGGAGGGGCAAAGGGTAGAATGTCATGGACTAAATTGTATCCCCCAAAAATTATGTGTGAACTTGGTTGGGCCACGATTCTCAGTATTATGTAATTATCCTCCATTTTGTGATCTGATGTAATTATCCCATGTGTTGTAAATCCTAACCTCTATGATGTTAATGTAGAAGGATTAAAGGCAGTTATATTCATAAGGCAGGATAAATCTTGAGTCAATCTTTCTGGAGACATGAAAGAGATTAAACAAGGAAGCAGAAATCAAGGACCTCAACTACTACCAAGAAAGAAGAGCCAGGAACAGAGCATATCCTATGGACCTGGGGTCCCTGTGCTGAGAACTTCCTAGACCCAGGAGAAGACAGATACCAAGACACATGTAAATCACCAGGGAACGCTGGGTCAACAGATGTTGAAAAAAGACAAGGACCTTCCTCCACAGACAACAGAGAGAAAAGCCTTCTCCTAGAGCTGGCACTCTAAATTCAGAGTTCTAGCCTCCTAAACTGTGAGAAACTAAATTTCTGTCTGTTAAAGCCATCTACTTATACTACTTATGCTATAGCAACACTAGATGACTAAGACACCTATGAAATAGGTTTTCAGCCTCATTTCACAGATGAGGAAACAGACTCAAAAAAACAAGTGATATTCCTACAACTGCACAGCTAGTAAACAGAGCTAGAACTAGAATCTAGGTCTTCAGACTCCAAATCCAATGCAAGTCCATGCCTAAGTATAATATCGAAACCACTATGTTGAATAACCAAAGCTTACATAGTTCAACTAATTTATCTTTCTTTTTGTTTTGAGTCTATTTCTGTTCAAATGAAAAGATATCCTTATAAAACCCCATACATTCACTAATAAATCTTTCTTTCATGTTGTATCTTCTCGTTCACCATAGTAACTCAATCGTTATATGTCCAGTATGCATGGTATTAGCATACGGTAAACACACAAATATTTTTTAAATGAATACTGGCTTCAAACATGTATTACCACAAGTAGGAATCTCTTTAACATAATTAATCTAAGTGAGCTTCCCAGGATTTTTTAAATTTATACCTGAAGTGTTTTAAAAACAAGGGAAAGTTTTGCCAAAGTAAATTTAACAATTTGCCAAAGTAAATTAACAATGTCCTTACCAAGGGCATAAACTCTGAAGGGGAGATATTTTCATTTAGTGAGCACCAATCAAACGCTTGCCACTCTGCTAGGAGCTTTAACTCATTTTCTAAATCAATACTATTATTCCTATTTCACAGAAAAGGCAACTGAGCCTTAGAGAGATTAAGTAACTTTTCCAAGATCACACAGCTAGTAAATGGCAAAACTATAGATCAAACTCAGATTTGACTCTAAAGATGTTCGTTTAATTATCCCACAGTCTTTCCTCACAAGTTGTCCAATTTCAGATGTTTTATGGTTTATTGCTACTGCTCAGCAGGGTAATAAATGTATTACTTACTTACTGACATGTCATATTTCACCCTTCTGCTTATTCTTAATGGTTTAACAATATATTCCATTTCTTGTCATCTTTACCCATTTATTCCTCAACTTCTACTATTTCTTTTACACAGACAACAGCACAAATATAGTCAGATCTGGCTAGATTTTTGTGCATCATTTTACTCTGTAAAGAAAGGCCAACCATGCCATTGAAATACTAACCAAGAAGTTCCTATCATCTTATATACACAGAAGAACGGCAATAGTTCCCCCAGAATTTAAATCCAGCAGCCTAGACAATGGGAATTTTCTCTAAAGGGATTGGAAAGTCCAAGAAAGATTTAAGATCATTTCTACCAATGCTGAAAGACTTCCTATTCCATTTGGGATTTAGATGACAAGATGCTGCTATAGGAAATTACATTCATCCATTGTCATCACTAGTCATCATCTCTAGATTTCAAATATTAAATACGGAGTAATAAGGTACCTTAAGAAGTAACAAAGAGACTATTCTCTAGTCATCAGAAAGTCTCTCACCTAACTGACCCTAGAATCCTCCTCTCTCTTTAAATAACTTTCAAAAAAAAAAGTCAGAAATTCCCTCCTCTACAATTTTAACAGAAAATGGTTCCCTATATATTTATCCTTTATCTCTCATACCTCAACAAAAGATCTCCTCTTGCTTTAATTAGAAACAGAAATTCCAAGTCCAGTGCCTTTCTTCAGCACAAAACACACCCAACTATCCTAAGTGAATGTGGAAAGGTTTGGTTTTTGTTCTCTTTCGTGGAATAAATTTATTGAAATCAATACTAACACTTCATAATACCAATTGTGATTTTTAAGAAACCAGTCATGTATCCCAATGGGTTTTCTAGAAAAGCAAGGCACCAAGTTTTACTGTACTGCTAATCATATCATCATTTCATGACGTTTGATGGGAAAACTGAATGGTGGCTTTAACATTTAATTCCTTCATGTATCTAAAGGACTACTAAAGAAGGATAAGTAGAAACCCTCCAAAGGTTTTATATACCTGGTTTTTCACTATACTAGTATTTACAGGAAAAAAAAAAAATGAAAACAATCCAATGTCTTAAAATGAGAAATTGGTTAAAATTTAGGTATACTCATACAATGAAATACTGTACTTTCATATTTAACCACTGATCTCAAGAAATGTTTCAGAATATGGGAAAAATATTCATCATCTACCGAACGGAAAAAGCAGATTATGTGAAAAATATATATATAGTACAACTGCAATTTAAAAATGTATTCATAAAAAAAGGAATGGTGATCTAAGTGTAAAACTTTGTGAGATTTTCATTTTCATCCTAATAATCGCCCATATTTTCCAGTTTTCTTCAATGCCTTTATAACCAGCTAAAGAATAATATCCCAAAACAAAACCCACTGCTATTGAGTCGATTGTGATTCACAGTGACCCTACAGAACAAAGTAGTCTATAGGGTTTCCAAGGCTGCAATTTTTACAAAAGCAGACTGTCACATCTTTCTCCCATGGAGCATTTGGTGGGTTCAAACTCCAAACCTTTTAGTTGGCAGTCGAGCACTTTAACCACTATGCCAGGGCTCCTTATATAATAATATGAGATATAAAAATATTTTCCTTTATAATTTTAATTATCAAAAAATTAAAAACCCTTTCCACAGTTATATAGAAATGAGCTTAAACATTTCAGAACTTTCAAGTAAAAGTACCTGAACTTTAACACACACACACTCATCGCTCATACCAGAATGAGCTTATCTCACACTTGTGGAGAATCCTTAATTTTCATGAGTAAATACTCACCGCTCAGGGGATTCTTCGTAAATACTGTGACATTCTGTATTCTCAAGCATGAGACTTCTACTAAGGTTTTGTACTCCTGGGTAATGGAAGTTAGCAAAGGAGTGTGACATTGGAGAAGTTTTGTTCCCAAGGTCTGAGATTCTCTTATCACTGGTCAGTCCACAGGTGAGTCCATCTAAAGCAGGATTTAGAGAGCGAGTCATATAGGCATCAGCTGATTGAGGCCTTCTCAATGGGGAGGACGGATAGGGAGAAAGTTTGCTGATAAGAGGAGTTAAAAGATCAGCATATGCAGCTTTTGTAGGTTTCAGAAGTTTATCAACATGAATATTAAGCATTTTCTGTTCAAAAGCACATGAGAACACAGAAGATGGAAGATTCTGAAGCCATGACAGTAAACTCAGATCCAAATCATCACAACCATTACCACATAAGAGGTCAATACCAAGAAGCACTTCACTTTCTGTAATTTCTTCTCCAGTTGCTTTACTCTGACAAAATTCCACACAACATTCATAAAGTAGGCCCTTCATTACAAGCTGAAATAAACGATTATTACTTGCTTTAAAGCCCGCCTCACTGAGCTTCCTATCAGCAGGAATAAATTCTGCGACCATGACACAAGCCTCTTCAAAACAGTGAACTCGTGCAGTGCTGGGGTTCCAGTCCTTAAATTCAGCATGATTGGTGAGACGAGGCAAAGTCAAAAGCAAACAGAGCTTGCTATAGTCATCTTTAGAAGGACAGTACTCTTCCAGGGCATGTAAACATTGCACAGCTTCTTGCATGGTAAATTCCAGCTATAAAAGAAATGGGAAGATCACTAAGAAGAGAAATGCTGTGAGATATCAAAACAGTGAGATCGTTTTACTCAGATATAAAGGTACCTCTCAAACTTTCATTTTGTATTCAATTACAAAAGGATAAACTCTAGCACCACAGAAAACTCATGTAATTTGTAGAATACATAACAACTTTCAATTCAAGAACCAAACTATTTCTTCTAGTAAAATAAGAAGAGTAAATCTTTGGTTAATTAACATTAAAATTTTATCTGTACAAATAGCGTTCTAGTCAAAAAATACATGGAGTGTATCACTTTCAAATGTACAATTTTTTAAGAATAATTTAATTTTATGACAACAAAAGCTCAAGCAGCGAAAAACAAAATAGTTAAATGGGTCCTCATCAAAATTAAATACATTGGTATATCAAAGAACTTTAACAACAAAGTAAAAAGACAATCTACAGACTGGGAGGAAATTTTCAAACAAGAGTCTAATACCCAAATACAAATAAAACTTCTACAACTTAACAACAAAAGACAAATAATCCAATCAAAAAATGGTCAAAGGACTTCAACAGGCAGTTCAAATGGCCAACAAGCACATGAACAGACGCTCAGCAGCTCAGTTTGTGTGTCTGAATCTTTACAGTTCTACCAACATCCCAAACGCTTCAGTTTCCTGTTTTTGTTTTTTTTTTACTTGCTGTCTTCTGTTATCTTCTAAATTGGATTAACATTTTGTGATATCATAGTCAGGATTATTTTTTACAGGACAATGATCAGCCTTGTAGAAATTTGCCATAATTTATATTAATTTATAGCAAGGCTGTCAAGTCTAGAATTAACAGGGAACACTAAGCACAAACTAATCTGTCAGTTCAAGACACAGACCTTAATCCTTTAATCACAGCTAAACTCTCTTTTACAAATTACAGGGCACCAAAGTTGTTCTTGCAGCAGGGTGTTCTGGCATATTTGTAATGTCTAAAAGGTAGAAATATTCTTAAATTTCAGTTCAAATCATATGTTGTCAAACAACAGCAACTTATGCATGTTTTTAAACTGACATTTTTTGGCGGGAAGATGATTTTATTATCATCTTAGGGTGGCTCTGCTGAATGAATTATTTTCAAAAAGAATATCAAATTTAAGCTTCCTTCCCCCACCCCTGCCCAAGAGATACTACTTTAGTAAGAAATGATGAAATTTTCAGCAAACTAGATTAACAATGGAATGAAATAAATGAATTGGGGATAAAGAAAAATGTTGCTGTTGACAGACCATGGCCTGTCAGTTTGTCAGACTGTGGTGGTGGTGCAAATTGAGGTGATGCTGGAAGCTATGCCACCAATTTTTCAAATATCAGCAGGGTCATCCATGGTGGACAGGTTTCAACACAGCTATCAGCCTAAGACAGACTAGGAAGAAGGATGTGGTTATTTACTTCTTAAAAAACTGCCCAGTAAAAACCTTATAAATAGCTGTGGAACACTGTGGGATATAGCCAGAAGATGAGCCCCTCGGGTTGGAAAGCACTCAAAAATGCAACTGGGGAAGAGCTGCCTCCTCAAACTGGAGTCGATCTTAATAATGTGGATGGAGTAAAGCTTTCAGGATCTTCATTTGCTGATGTGGTATGACTCAAAATAAAAAGAAACAGCTGCAAACATCCATTAGTAATTAGAATGTAGAATGTATAAAGTATGAATCTAGGAAAATAAGTTGTCAAAAATGAAATTAAACACTTTAAGCCACGAATTCCAAAGATGAAAAAATTAAAGATTTTTACCAGCTTTTGCAGGCTAATATTGATCAAATGTACAAGTAAGATGCAATGATAATTACTGGTGATGGGATGCAAAAGTCAGAAACAAAGAAGGATCAGTAGCTTGAAAATATGACCTTGGTGACAGAAATGATGCCAGAAATCACATGACAGGATTTTACAACACTAATGGTTCATTCACTGCAAATATCTTTTTCCAACAATATAAACGGTGAAAATACATGTGGACCTCACCAGATGAAATACACAGGAATCAATTGACTACATCTGTAAGAGATGATAGAGAAGCTCAGTACCAACAGTGCAAACAAGGTCAGGGACCGACTACACAAGAGATCATTAATTATCAGTATTCACCTTCAAGTTGAAGCTGAAGAAAATCAAAGTAAGTCTACAAGAGCCAACTACAACCTTGCACACATCCCAGCTGAATTTAGAGACCATCTCAAGAACAGATTTTACACATTGAACACTAATGACCAGAGAGTTATGGGATGACATCAAGAATGTTATGTGTGAAGAAAGCAAAAGTTCATTAAAAAGAAAGAAAAGACCAAAAGGGATGTCAGAAGAGACTGTGAAACCTCCTCTTGAAAGAAGAATAGCTAAAGAGAATGGAAAAAATGATGGAGAAAAAGAGCTGAACAGAAGATTTCAAAAGGCCGCTCAAGAAGGCAAAGTATTATATGAAATGTGTAAAGAGCTGGCGTTAGAAAACCAAAAATGAAGATTACTCTTGGCATTTTTCAAGCTGAAACAACTGAAGAAAAATTCAAGCCTTGAGTTTCAACACTGAAGGATTCTATGGGTAAAATGTTGAATGATGCAGGAAGCACCGTAAGAAGATGGTACAGAGTCACTGTACCAAAAAGGATAGACAATATTCAACCATTTCAGGAGGTAGCATATGATCAAGAACCGATGGTATTAAAGGAGGAAGTCCAAGCTCCATTGAAGGCATTGGTGAAAAACATGGGTCCAAGAATTGATGGATTACCAACTGAAACATTTCAAGGCTAGAAGTGCTCACTTGTCTAGGCCAAAAAATCGGGAAGACAGCTTTGACCAATCAATCAACTGGAAGAGATCCATATTTGTGCCCATTCTAAAGAAAGGTAATCTAACAGAATGAGGAAATTAACAAACAAATTATCAATTAAAGTTCTGCCGAAGATAATTAAAAAAACAGTTGCAGCAGTACGTCAACAGGGAACTGCCAGAAATTCAAGCCTGAATCAGGCTTGTGGAACGAGGGATATCATTCCCGATATCAGATGGATCTTGACTGAAAGAACAGAATACCAGAAAGATGTTTACCTGTGTTTTATTTACTATCCAAAGGCATTCAAGTGCGTAGATCATAATAAATTATGGATAACGTTGTAAAGAATGGGAATTCCAGAACATTTAATTGTGCTCATGCAAAACCTGAACAACTAGAGGTAGTTGTTCAAACAGAACAAGGGGATACTGCCTGGTTTAAAATAAGGAAAGGTATGCATCAGGGCTGTATCTTTTCACCACACATATTCAATCTGTATGCTGAGCAATAATCCAAGAAACTGGGCTATACGAAAAAGAGCATGACACCAGGATTAGAGGAAGATTCATTACCAACCTGCAATATGCAAATGACACAACCTTGCTTGCTGAACACAAAGCAGACTTGAAGCACTTACTGATGAAGATCAAAGACTACAGACTTTAGTATGGATCACACTTCAACATAAAGGAAACAAAAATCCTTACAACTAGACTAATAAGCAACATAATGATAAATGGAGAAAATGTTGAAGTTATCAAGAATTTAATTTTACTTGGATCTACAATCAATGTCCATGAAAGCAGGAGTTAAGAAATCAAATGAAATGTATAAACAAACTGTGGTACATATACACAATGGAGCATTATGCAATACTTTAGAATAATGACAAAGCCTCAAAACACTTCCTAATATGGATGAACCTGGAGGACGTTATGCTGAATGAAATAAATCAGTCACAGAAGGACAAATATTGTATGAGATCACTACTATAAAAAGTCAAAAAAGGTTTACACACAAAAAGAAACATTCTTTGATGAGGAGGGAGAGGAAGGGGAAATCACTAACTAGAGAGTATGAGATTAACTTGGGTTATATAGGCAATATACATTATGTATAAAGGCAATATACATTAGGGAGGAGGTCAGCATAACATGACCAAGGCAAAGGAAGACATTGGGAGATACATAAGAGTAAAAGGCAGCAATGGTAAATACTTTTACATATCCTGCAATAACAGTAATAACAAATAATTTATGAGTGGATACAGAGGTAGATATGGATGAACATATCTGAAGATGAACAGGCATGGGATGGCAAATGGGAATACATCCATGAGTATATAAAGGCCTGGCAGAATTTCTACAAATGTATTTGTATATACTGCAAATACATGTATATAGGAGAACATACAGGGGGCAAAGGTATAAAAACTTAGCCATAATCAAACACCTTGAGGGAAGTGTCAATGGTTTAGAACCACAGTCTCAGGGGGCACCCAGGTCAATTGACATAACAGAGTACACAAAGACAATATTCTACATCCTACTTTGGTGAGTAGCGACTGGGGTCTTAAACACTTGAGAGTGACCATCTAGGATTCAACTACTGGTCTCTTCCCATCTGGAGCAAAGAAGAGTTAAGAAAATAAAAAAACTCAAGGAAATAGTCCAAAGAACTAATGGACCACACAAACCACAGCCTGAGACCAGAAGGACCAGATGGTGCCTGGCTACCACTACCAAATGCTCTGATCAGGATCACAATAGAAGACCCAAGACAGAATGGGAGAAAAACGTAGAACAAAATTCAAAATCATAAAGAAGACCAGACTTACTGATCTTATGTAGAGTGGTGGAACCCCTGAAACTATAGCCCTTAGACACCTTCAAACCCAGAACTTAGCCCACTACTGGGGATCACCTTTCAGGAAATTAAATAGGTAATAGGCCTATAAAGTGAACAGTAACACCCATCAGGAAAGTACCCCTCAGAACAATCAACCATACAAGACCAAAAGGGCAGCACTGGCACAAAAACAAAGTTCAGAAGGCAAGAAGTAGCAGGAAAGAAGGACAAATGGAAACAAGGAGCCCAGGAAGCAGGAGAAGTGCTATTACACTGAAGGGATTGTAACTAATGTCACAAAACAAAATGTGTATAAATTTTTGATTGGGAAACTAATGTACTCTGGAAACTTTCATTCAAATCACAATAAAATGTTGAAAAAGAAATTAACACATACTTAAAAAAAAAAAAAAACTCAAAGGACATATTGCATTGGACAAATCTGCCACCAAAAGACCTCTTTAAAGTATTAAAAAAAGCAAAGATGACACTTTGAGGACTAAGACGCCCCTGACCCAAACCATGGTATTTTCAGTCACTTAATATACACGCAAAAAATGGACAATGAAGAAGGAAGACCAAAGAATAACAGAGCATTTGAATTATGGTGTTTGTGAAGAATCCTGAATATAACATGGACTGCCAGAAGAAAGAACAATTTTCTTGGAAGAAGTGCAGCCAGAGTGCTTCTTAGAAGTGAGGATGGTGAGACTTCATCTCATGTACTTTAGACATGTTATCAGGAGGGATCAGTCCCTGGAGAAACACATCATGGTTGGTAAAGTAGAGCATCAGCAAAAAAGAGGAAGTCCTAACTACTAGTTAGATAAAAGACATGTATTGATTTGGATGAAGGGAAAGGCAATATACCAAAAAGCTGGTGAAAAGCACAATAATGCTAAGGAAAAGGAAGGCATAGAAGCTGCACAAGAGGACAGACAACACAGTTAAATACTTTTTACATATTCAATCATTGCATTACCAGTAATAATAAACATTAATCTGAGTGGATACACAGGTTGATACACAAGATGATTCAGGTATGAGAATATACCTATCACCATATATAGGTATGGCAGATGGCATTTCTACATATATATTTGTGTGTGCTATAAAAACGGCCACATATATATAATACAGCTAGATGCATGCAAAGATGAGATAACCTCTTAGCCACAACAAAACACCTTGAGGAAGTGAGTCACTGGGTCTACAGGCTTGGCACCATAGTCACAGGGGACATCATACTTGATTGATATAACATGCTACACAAAAACATTGTTCTATATCCTATTTTGATGAGTAGTGACTAGGGTCTTAAAATCTCGCAAGCAGCCTTCAACATTTAGTCTCTCAATTGGTCTCTCCTCGTCCAGAGCAAAGAAAAGTGAAGAAAATCAAAGATGCATGGAAACAACTAGTCCAAGGGACTAGTGAACCTTGGGAACCTCTAACTACATGACCCTGACCAGATCTAGATGGTGCCTGGTTACTACTGCCAATCACTCAGAAAGGGATCAAAATTAGAGATCCTGGACAGAGTAAGAAGAAAATGTAGAACAAAACTCAAAATCATAAAAAAGACCAGGCTTACTGGTCTGATAAAAATTCCTGAGATTATGGTCCCTAAATCATCCTTCAGGCCAGGAATTGAACTTACTTCCACAGCTTTACCTTCAGACAAACAATACACAGCCCTGCGAAGTGAACAACTAAACCAAGTAGAACAACCTTAGAACAATCAACCGTGGGAGGTCAGAGGGCAGCATTTACACAGGGAGAAAGCTCAGAGAGCAGGAAGGCATAGCAAAGAAAGAAACAGGGAAAAGGTAACCACAGGGAGGAAGTGGTAAGAGACCTGCCGGTGAGGATGGCAATCAATGTCACAAAACAAACTGTGTATGAATTGTTGAGGAGGGAGCTCTGGTAGTGTAGTGCCTAAGGCACTTGACTGCTAACCAGAAGGCTGGCAGTTCAAACCCACCAGCCACTCCTCGGAAGGAAGATGGGGCAATCTACTTCCATAGTGATACTGCCTCGGAAACCCAAGGAGGGGTCACTATGAGTCGGGTCCAACTTCACGGCACACAACAACAACAACAACATTAACTGTTGAATGGAAAATGAATTTGCTCTGTAAAATTTCAACCACATGACAATAAAAAGTTAAAAAAAAAAAAAAGAGAGAGAGAAAGAGAAAGCCCCTCAATGAGACAGATTAAAACAGCAGCTGCAACAACGAGCTCAAACTGACAACTATGAGGATGACACAGGACCAAGCAGTATTTTGGTCTGTTGTACACAGGATCACTGTTAGTCAAAACCGACTGGATGGCACCTAACAACAACAACAATATTTAAATCGCAATGAAGACAAACATTTTATCAAAAAGCTATTTCATGGAACAAAGAAAATACTGAAAAGACAGATAAATTAAATTCTGGGATAAGAAAAGAAGCAGTGATAAAGAGTCATCAAGCCAAACATATATTGCTATATTAAATCGTATCAAAAAAGGGAGCACATACTATTCAACCAGCCAGCCATTCATGTATCATCTTGGCTTAAATCACTAAACAGTTTTGGAAACTCCACAGACTGAAAGTATTACATTTGCAAAATAACGAATTTGCCCCATCCCAGCTCATGAAAACTTTGAAAATTCATATCATCCTCTGTTGTTTTAGTGAAGAAAAAATTGTGACTGAAAACAAGACTATGGCGCAAACCTTCAGGAATAAAAATCTTACATGCTGGGGCTCATCTTCTGCTGACATTGCATTGTTAACACACAAAGCTTCTAGAAACTTCTGCTTCAGGATAATATAACGAAACCTGTGGAAAATAAAACATAAAACGTTGAAATATTAAAAAGCTGAATGGGAACAATGTCAAAGGCTGGAAATGAAATTCAACTTTCTGAACTAAAACAGATAGGGTTTAACAGACTAATTCTTTTAAAAAAAGATATTTAAAAAAAAAATTATTTTTCCAATGTCTGGTAAGTCAAATGTACTTCCAAGTTAATATAAGCACTTTTTGCTTTCAGAAAATGCTTAAAATATTTCTAAGTTTCTTACTACATTGAAGCTGTAATTCAAATAATTTCAGTAGCAAGTAATCACAATTTAACACAGAAAGGAAGGATTCCTAGTTCCAATATGCAATAATAAAAAAAAAAACCTCACTTTTTATGGAAGATATCAAATGTAAAAATACTAAAGTCCATTATATTCAAAATGTTTTGTTTTCTTCAAAATACATTGTTTTCTTTCTTTTAAACATGAGAAAGGTCTAATAAAGACAAGATTGAAGGGGTAAGAGGAAAGATAGTATCTCTAAAAAGTCACAATATAACTATAAAATCAAAGCTTTTTAACAGAGATTTCTCAGGGTGGAGAGAAGGAAAACAAACTGTATCCTTAACCTAAGAACCAAAAAAGGTTTGATGACTTAAGCATTTATAAAGAAATAGTGTTTCTAAGGGTTCAAAGAAAAAATAATGAACCTTGAGTCACTCTTTCAATCATTTTTGTAGTAGAAAAATATATATCCAATAAAACAAAATTCCTGGTTTCAAAACGAGGGTAATCTAATAAATTAGATAAAATCTATGTAGGATTCAGCAAAGTCTCAAGTGAGTGAAAAACCAATTCTATCAGAAGGGGTGAGAAATAAAAAGAAAGATTTATAAGGCCTGGCTGTTTGAAAATGATCAGGAGTGTGCCAACTAAAGGCAGAAGATGATGAAAAGAAGAGTATTTCAGATAAACAAAAAATGGACAAAAGGAAAGAGATACTCAAATAGCATGAATTCAGAATCAAAATAATATGAGGTTCCACTTCTAATAATGGTGGAGTAACTTATATCTCGCTGTCCTTCCTGAAGATAACAATTATAAACCAAGGATAAAAAATACAAAAGCAACTATATAAAAGCACTGGGGAACCACCAAAAGCTGGCAAACACTGGAGGGGGGAGTCAATCTTTGGAAACAAAGATATTCAAGAGATGAGATTCAAAGGCCTAAGATTTTCCAGCTGAAAGCACACTACAGTCCACACAGTCTGAGCTAAAATTCAATGAGAAAGTTGCCATTTTACAGGCTTGAGGAGTTGGTAAAATGTTTGGGAGTACCAGAACAGGTGGAAAGTTGGAGGGGTTGTCAAAAAAAGGTGGGACCACAGTGATAAATATACCAAAATTTATTATATAAACTTTGCCCAACCAACTCACTATCACTGAGTATATTCCAACTCATAGTGACCCTACAAGACAGAGTAGAACTGCCCCCATAGGGTTTCCAAGGTTGTAAATCTTTACTGAAGCAGTGCCACCAAGTTCCAAATTTTGGCCAAACTCTTGGCTAAACTCTAAACTCTGAAGATGCAAAGGAGACTCCCAGGAGTCCAGTGAAAGCAGCAAATAAAACTCAAACTCACTGGTGTCGAGTTGATTCGACTCTTAGTGACCCCTCCTTGGGTTTCCGAGGCAGTTATCTCTACAGAAGTAGATTGCCCAACCTTCCTTCCGAAGTGGCTGGTGAGTTTGAACCACCAGCCTTCTGATTAGCAGTCAAATGCCTTAGGCACTACCCTACCAGAGCTCCCAAAACTTACTGCCATCAGGTCGGCTCCAACTCATAGAGACCCCTCAGGTTTCCAAGGCAGTGAAAAATATAAGCAGAGATTGGTCCATTATGGAGGAAACAGGGTCTGTATTTTAATCTAGCTAGTTAACTACCTGCTAGAATAAAAATCAACACTTTTCAAAGGAAGAAAACAGAATCCTGACTCTCTGCAATGGCTCTATAACAGGCAGAACACATTAAAAAATTATTAGACACACAAGGAAACAGAAAAATGTGACTCATAGTAAAAAGAAAGGCAGTCAACAGAAACTGAGCCTCAAATGCCCTGCATGCTGGAATTAGCAAACAAGGACCATAATGCAGCGACTATAAATGTGTTCAAAGACTTGAAGAAAAATATCACAACAAAAGAACACAAGGGAAAATAGTAGAAAAATTTAAATTATAAAAAAGAATGTTAAGAAAATTCTGAAACTGAAAAGTACAATATCTGAAATGAAAAAGTCACTGTTTATTAGCAGACTGCTAGTGGAAGAAGAAAGGGTCAGTGAACATGAAGGTAAATCAACAGGAATAATCCAGTTTGAAGAATACAGAGAAGAAAACTATTTTTAAATAGTAACAGAGCCTCAGTCCTATGGGACAAAATCAATCTGCCTAATATACTGTAATTAAGAGTCCCAGAAGGAAAAAAGGAAGGCATAGGGAATATTTGAAGACATAATGGCCAAACATTTCCCCAACTTGATGAAAAACATAATTTTACATATCCAAACCTCAAGCAGGAAAAATACAAGGTATAAGACTTGTTGTTGTGTGCTTTCATGTCAATTCTGATTTATAGTGACCCTACAAGACCCTATAGTGCTCCAAAAGGTTTCCTAGTCTTCGGTCTTTACGGAAACTGACTGCCACATTTTTCTTCCATGTAGCAGCTGGTGGGTTCAAACAGCTGACCTTTTGGTTAGCGGCCAAGTCCTTTAACCACTGTCCATCAGCACTCCTTGAAAGCAGCCAGGGGGAATTATGGAACATGACATACAAGAGAATAAGGATATACATGAGAGTTGACAACTCATCAGAAACAGTAGTAGCCAAAAGACAACTGAATGACATCTTTGAAGTCTTTGGATCATTAGGAAGAAACAGTTGCTTCAGATATGGCCCTTAGGGCATTCTGAATATCAGCACTGTTGCCTAAGTAAGTTTGCATGTAAGATTTTCAACTAACTGAAGTTCATTTCCCTTGTCCTCTAGAAGTGATGCAACTCAATGAGATTCAATGCACTGTTTTCTAAAAAAGCTAAGTCTTGGTTAAAAATTTTTGTTTATTTTGTTTTGCTAAGTTTCTACCAATGATAAGACTCTAAAACTTCAGATAAAACCTTACCTTTTTTTGTCAAATTTTTCCATACATTCCAGAGGCTGAATGAACTGAAGAACTTCATCCCACTGGCCATCAAGAATTAGCTGCCTACATAAAAAAAAAAAAAAAAAGCCAGGTATGTTATCAAATTTGGGTTACACTAATTAAAAGCAGAGTAGATGACAAGATAGTGTTAAAGTAACAGAAATCAGGTAATAAAATAAACATTTTACTGGGTTCTTCCTCAAACACTATGCTGTTGCTACTGCTGTTGTTGTTGTTGTTGTTTGCCATCAAGTCAGACCCAACTCATAGCAAGCCCTCCTTGGGTTTCCGAGGCAGTATCACTACAGAAATAGATTGCCCAACCTTCCTTCCTAGGAGTGGCTGGTGAGTTTGTACCGCCAGCCTTCTGGTTAGGAGTCAAGTGTCTTAGGCACTAGCTACCAGAGTTCCCTCAAATACTATAACAAAGCAAATTTTTTCACAGCTCATTTGTAACCACATACACTATGTGAGAATTAATTAATTAATTTGTAAATATGCAACCACTCTACACACTAATGTATATGTGGTTTTTGATCTATGTGAAAACACTAAACTAAGCCTAAAAATTTCTGTATTTCCCTATTCATCTGGCAGTTTTAATGCTATTATGTCATTATCTAAGAGCCAATGTGTGAATGTGTTCTACTTTTTCTCAATCAGTGGTTCTAAATAGGGGTAATTTTGCCCCTAACAAGGGATATTTGGCAATGCCTGGAGACATTTTTGGTAGTCACAACTCAGGGAAGAGATGCAACTGGCATCTAGTACTTAGAGGTCAGGGATGTTGCCAAATATCCTATCATGTATAGGACAACCCTCCACAACAAAGAATTACCTCGTCTAAAATGGCAACAGTGCCAAGATTAAGAAACTTTGCCCTGAACTATGAAGTCTACATCTTTGAGGCACTTGACTTTAAAGTTTACACTCTGAAATAAAAAATGCCAGGCATAGGATCAGATTTCATCCTGCTTTAGTGGTCCTATGGGAACTTCCAAAAGTTACAAGGCATTCATATCGCTCTTCTTTTACAACAGCAATTTCCTTACTTTTGAATTTCTCAGAATAGTAAATTTAAAAAGGGGGAAAGAGGGCAGGAGAACCTATATAGGACAGCCAACTTTTTGTTTTGCAAAGTAGTATTACCGTATTTTTATGCAAATACACACATATTATTTGCGTAAAAGTATGGTAATAAACACAATCACAACATACTGTGGTATTTCAGTTTGTGTGTTAACTTGACTGGGCCTGGTTGAGTGGCTAGGCAGCTGGATGTAGTATTCCCCAGGATGGGACTGGTAATCAACTCCATGGTGGAATCTACTGAGAGCAGCTGAGTAGCTGCCTTTGGGATGTGGCCTGCTTCCTGTATATAAGCAGAAGACTTGAGGAATGGTCTCTAGCATATGGCATGCTTGGACCCTGCATGTAGACGTGTTATTTCATTGTTCAGCAGCCTGCCATGCTCTGCCAACTTTGGGACTTACAACGGACTTGAATCAATGGCCTGCCATGTGGTTTGGTAACATCAGGATTGTGCCTTTTTTATTTGTCAACCTTGGGCTTGGCAGCCTCAGCAGCCAGCAGCTGTCTGAGTGAAGAAAAGTCTCTAGCTTCAGTGGGCCGGGAGCTGAAGGCAGAGCTAAAGCCCAAGGCTGAGGGGCTTTCACCCAGCCTCTAGAGCCTGGCACTTTGAATTTGGACTTCTAGCCTCCTGAACTGTAAGAAAATAAACTCCTGTTTGTTAAAGCCATCCCATTTGTGGTATATCCTTGTCAGAGCAGTACTAGGTAACCAGAACACATGCTATCATACTCATTTTATAAAAGGATATAATATTATTAAAGAAATTGCAAGGACACAATTTCAAAGGCCAGTACTTTAAAATGAGTACTTAGTTTAATTAAAAATTTACTATTCTTTATGTTCTACATCCTAATTTGGTGAGTAGTGCCTGGGGTCTTAAAAGTTTGCAAGCACCTGTGGCTTCCAGCCAAACAAAAGACAGGCATAGGAGTTGAACATTTACCTGAGGTAGATACACTCCTTGGAGAGAACAATCACGGGAGAAAATAAGGCTGTTTATGCACAAGGAGACAGCTCAGGGGGTAGGAGTGCATGGAGGGATGGACACAGGGAAGAGGTAACTATGAGGAGGAAGTGGGAGGGAAGCTGTTGCATTGGGGTAAATTGCAGTCAATGTCATGAGACAAAGTGTATGTAAACTGTTGTATGGAAAGTGAATTTGCTCTGTAAACTTTTACCCAAATCACAATTAAAAAAAAAAAAAAAACAAACCCTGAAAAAAAAAAAAGTTTGCAAGCAGCCACCTAAGATGCAAATATTAGACTTTACTCATTGGGGTAGCAGAAGAGACTGAAGGAGACCAAAGACTCAGAAGAAACTGGTCTACAGAATGAATTGTCTGCATGAACCACAGCCTCATGTACCCTCAGCCCAGATCAGGGCCACAGTAGATGGATTCTAATAGAAGAGAAAAATAGGGAATGGAACTCAAATTCTTAAAAATATCCAGACTTTCTGGACCAGTTGAGATTTGAGGATTCCCTGAGACTATCATCCTGAGATACTCTTTAAACCCTGAACCCAAATTATCCCCTGAGCTTACTCCTTAGCTGAATCAGAGTGGCTTGTAAAATAAAGATTATAACCCATGAGTACTGCATTCCTCTGAAGACTCATCTGTATAAGACAAATAGTGAAATATTATCCTAAAGCAATAATGAAAAGTAAGGGGTCAGGGAAATTACATTATTAGAAATGGAATAAGAACAGAATAACCGTATTTTTAAATAAATCATGAAGGGTTTATACGGTTTTTTTTTTTTTGCAAACAGCTCAACCCCCTCACGCTTTAGTTTCTTATGTGCACTATGCATGTTATATGTATGTACATTATAGGCATGGGCACATTATGTGTGAAAATATGATAATGAGAATATTGACACACTGACAAATGTAACCAATGTCACTGAATATTTCATACAGAAATTGTTAAATGGGAACCTAATTTGCCATATAAACTCTCATTGAAAACACAATAAAATATTATTGCAGAAAAAAAAAAAAAACTATTCATTTGAGAGCCACTACCAAATTTGGAAGGAGCTCTGGTGGCACAGTGCCTAAAGCACTACCCCAGAGTAGCAATGGTTGAAAGAATACTGAGTTAAAAGAATTAGTGCTTCAGTATTAGTTCCTGAGTACACCGTTGACTAAGGTTCCCAGGATGGATGATGTATAATATTCATAACACAAAACACAGGGATGGCAATGAGTTTAAATAAATTCCCTTAACATAATAAAGCTTAAGAAATTATTTTCTCATTTGTCAGAACACTTCATCACTTAAGGCTTTCCAAGTCACAAAATGCCACATGTCCAAAAATCTGTTCTCCTTGTTAAGGGTAGTTGGTATCATATAAGCATAGACGACATTTATGCTTGGAAATTTCAGCTTTTCCATCCAATTCAAGTTAGGATATATTTAGCTTTCCATTTTGGCAAGCATATTAATTCTCACTGATCCTGTAATTCCACATCTAAGAATCTGTCCTAAGGAAATAATCCAAGATAGAGAAAATTCTCATGTACAAAAGATGCTTGCAGAGCATTATATTTAAGAATAACTAAAAATAATTTAATTATGTGGAGATAGAGGAGCCAAAAAGAAAATACATTTTTAAAAAATACATGCTTATAAATTTGTAATCACATGGAGAATCCTTCTGATGTTAATGAATAAAACAGGATACTAAGTTAATAGATTCAACAGAATTTCTGTTATTTTTTACAAATATGCTGGGGAAAAAAAATGCCATCAGTATGTGCCTGGGTGGTGACATGGTTTTTCTTTTCTTCATTTTCTGTAAATTTATTTTCAAATTTTCTAAAGTGAATATGTTTCTATAATGAATATGTTTTATTTCTATAACCAAAAAAATGGTTTTTGAGAAATATTTTCTTTATCTTACAAGAGTCTCTTATTCTTACTATCTTTTTTTGGTGCCACAGTCACAATGGAGTTGTGTAACTCTTGGGTTCCTTTTTTGTTTTTAATATTAAATAATGATCCTTTATTTCACGTTAGGTAGCTGAAAGGACAAACAAAATATAATCTGTCCAGGCACTTAATCAAAGACATTTTGGAGATATAGCAGATCTTTCCAATAAAAGCCAAACTCACTGCCGTCAAGCCTACCGGACTCATAGCGACCCCTCCTTGGTTTCCGTGGCAGTATCTTTACGGAAGCTGATTGCCCAATCTTCCTTCTGAGGCATGACTGGTGGGTTTGAACCGCCAGAATTCTGGTTAGCAGTCAAATGGCTTAGGCACTATGCCACCAGAGCTCCCAGGCAGACCTTAGAGATCTCTTCTCTTACAACTGGGGAAACTTTAAATTACACAGATTTTAGTGGCAGTCCAGTGTTCTTTATACTCTACTAGGTCTACCTTTTTTTTGTTTTGCTTTATTGTGGTAAATATATATGTGTGTGTGTGTGTGTATGCTAATTCATTTTTCGCATGTAAAATTCAGTGATGTTATTTATGTTCATTATGTTGTACAACCATCATCCCTATCCATTTCCAAATTATTCCACCACCATTAATAGAAACTCAGTGCCCCTTACACAAGGACTTTTCCTTTCCCACTCCCTCCCATCTCTGGCAACCACTAATAAACTCCATACCTCTAGCTACTTCATTTAAGTGGCATCACACAATATTTGTCCTTTTTTAAAATTACAATTATATACCTTTTCATGATTATGAAGTTCTATCTGTATTCTACATATTACCTTATTAATACTTAACATTTATTTGAGGGAACTACAAAACTCACAGTATTAACAGAATCATACCTCAGGAAAAGCATATCATCTGAAAACAGGCCATTTATGACTCCACTTTCCTTCTCAAGGGCCAACATACTAATGTGAAGCTTCTTTGAATTCAAGAAGTCCAAAATTAACTTAATAATTTCAACTTCTTTTACATTTACTGTTTCTTCAGCCGTCATGTTGATAGCCTAAAATGTTAAACAGAACAACAACAAAAAAAGTTAGTTCTATTGTTTTGTTTCCAAGTTTAACTGCCTGGAAACTTACCCATAAACTTGTTTCTTTGAAATGTTTAGTATAGGTATTTTGAAATGAAATGAATTTAACATTTATCAAAACCATGTTATTTATCATGTGACAAAAGTATGGCTATGATGTTTTTAAAGCCTTATCTTTTAGAGACACATACTGGAATAGTATAACTGTTCCAACAAATGAAACTATTTCATTTGTAAAATGAAATTATATAATCTGATTTGCTTCAAAATAATATAAGAGAACATAAAGACAAAACAATAACCATGACCATTAATTGGGGTGATGGGTAAACGGGAGTTGATTATATACTATTTCGACTACTCATATATGTTTGAATTTTCTATAATAAAGAATATAATTAAAAATCATTAATAACAAACCATATTCACCTATGTTGTTGTTATGTTGTTATGTGCCGTAGAGTCAGACCTGACTCATAGCGACCCCTCCCTGGGTTTCCGAGGCAGTACCACTACGGAAGTAGATTGCCCAACCTTCCTTCCGAGGAGTGGCTGGTGGGTTTGAACCGCCAGCCTTCTGGTTAGAGGTCAAGTGCCTTAGGCACTATGCCACCAGAGCTCCTATATTCACCTATAGACTATCCTAATACATTCATTCTCGGAAGGAAGATGGGGCAATCTACTTCCATAGTGATATTGGTCGGAAACCCAAGGAGGGGTCGCTATGAGTCGGGTCCGACTCGACGGCAAACAACAACAACAATACATTCATTCCATAAGTGCTTATTGCCTCTCCTCTGTGGAGTTATATTCAAGAGACATTGCCCATGTCCTTAAGAAGCGTGTACCCTAGCAGGAACATGAGTGATGGAGCCAAACAAAACAAGATAAGTTAAAATGTGCAACTTTACATCACACTGGTACTATCAACCTAAACATCAATAATTTCAACACTCTAAAATTCTTTCCAACTATAACCTCTATCTTTGCAATGGTACAATTGCACATACAAGTTATGAACTTACTAAGATTTAGAACTGAAAGGGATTCTTAAGGTTATTAGGTCAACATTCTCATTTTACAGGTGAGGTCATACAAGTTAAATGGCCTAAATTGTTGCAGTTTTCAAATGCTAAGGCTCAGAGCAATACAAAAGGCTATCCTGCTAGTGGACTAGCTGCAAAGAAACCTCATCAGATGGCATTTACCTTGGTGTGCTCACAATCTAAGGTCTGGTTCTCAGCCTTGACACAATAAGAAGGATAGCCAGCCTCAGGAAACAAATCGTAAATAGTAAATCTCTCCCACCTATTTCCTCATGCTTTGGGTTCCCTTTGTTATCTTCTGACCTAACCACTCCTCTCTGTTCATAGACTTTGTTCAAAAGAAAAGACAATAAAATTAATGAGGTTTCCACACCCACCCCAAATTCTAATTACATCTTAGATCGGTCTTCTGAGATTATTCCTAGGACACACTTATTACTGATTTTAATAGGCCTCAACTCTTCAGATAATTCTTGTTATCGAAAGAATACTTTTCACTATATTTGATTCTCAGAATAATAATCTTATCCCCCTCCAACTCCAAGTTTTTAGAAGGCACTTCATTTAATACCACCCTTTACCAACCATACAACATAGTGGCAGAATTCAGACTACAATTTTCTAATGCCCAATTCAATATATCCAACGATATTAAACATTTTATAGCCTTCACAATATTCAACATTCGATTTAAATATTAGCCAAAATATTTATTCTGGAATATAATCTACAGCAATAGTCTCACTTTAAATCATAACACAAGTTTAATACTACAGTCATTTCTGGTTGTAAAGCTGAAGTGAAGAAGAAAGATAGTCTCACAAATAAATACCTTACACTGACTTTACATTTAAAATTTGTACAAACAAAAAAAAAATAATAAGTAAACCTAGTGCCATCAAGTCAATTCCAACTCATAGTGACCCCACTGGAAAGAGGAGAACTGCCCCCACAGGGTTTTCAAGGCTATAAATCTTTACAGGAGCAGACTGTCTCATCTTTCTCACACAGAATGGCTAGTGGATTAAAACCACCAACCTTCCGGTTAGCAGCCAAATGCTCTAACCACTGTGCCACCAAACTGCTTTAAAATTTGAATAGGTACCAGAAAATACAAACACTCCTCACTTATCAACATGGTTAGGTTCCAAACACCAGGTTGTTATGTGAAAATTGGCATTATGGAAAAATGGATCGTATCACAGCAGATCATGAAATGGAAGATGACTACATCATTACATAACTGCAAAATTACATCCTAACTGCCAAACCACTGAGAATAATGGCCCAGCCAACTTGGCACATACCTTTAACCATCACAGCCAGCATTACTCTCTCCTCAAACTTTGGCATTTGTCACTGTCAAATGTACGTTATCAATGTGTAAAATAGTCAGGTAGTAGACTTTTTTACTAATGTCATAAATGCAAAATGTTGAATAACAAAATAGATGATAAATGAGCAGCAGGTATATATCCTAAATAACCTAGAACTGATTAAAAAACATGACAACTTCTGATACTGTATTATGAAATTCCCAACAGCAAAGTATGGTATTTCAATCATCCAATCCAGAATTTTAATTCTTATAAACTTTACTGATGCTGGATGCAATATAAATAAAGGTACTTTCTTGATGACTATCTTAGAATTACTCTGTATTTCTAACCCATTTTAAAAAGTTTCTAATATCTTAGGTGTACAATTCAGAAATCATAACACTATGTATGTATTTTCAAAGATAATACATAAAAACATATAATCCATGAATATTTTTTAAGCTCCTTGAACTATTCATAACAACACAGTTAGAATTTTTCTCTAATCCAGAGGAGTAGAACTCCTCTGTTTCTTCTCAATTTCTCAAAAAAAGTATAAAGTAGGATAATTCAAACTAACTTAGGGGCTACTAAACTTATCTTTTAAAGTAAGATGTGTAGTACATATTATGGGAGTTCCGGTAGTGTAGTGTCTAAGGCACTTGACTGCTAACCAGAAGGCTGGTGGTTCAAACCCACCAGCTACTCCCTGGAAGGAAGGTTGGGCAGTCTACTTCCATAGTGACACTGCCTTGGAAACCCAAGTCGGACTATGAGTCAGGTCCGACTCAATGGCACTTAACAACAACAGTACATATTGTATGTCCAATAAATGTTGGCTGAATTAACATGAAACACAAAAATAAATGAAGAAATGTGTCTACAAAAGTATAAAATAGATGTCTTTGTTTCCAACTGTTCTAAAAAACATTATAAAGGATAGAGCTCTGATCCTTTAATCTTACTATTCAGTCAAAGTCAATTCTAATAGCATCCTAGGACAGACAGTAACTTGCCAGCCTGTGGTACATGTGAACAAATACTTATTCACCAGGCAGAACTTATGCAGGGCCAACAGTAGGGTTTATGCCACTGAAAAATTTTTTTAAAAAAGGAAAAAAAATCAGAATGTCTCAATGTTTCCATATTAAATGATATATTTAACTATTAAAAAAAAAAAAAAAAGGACAATCACAGAAACAACTCGCTAGCATTTCCTTTAAGAAATAAAATTTTACTTACAGCAAACACCTGGACTACGTAAGATGAAGAAACAAGAGTTTGCTTTAAAAACTAGATATTGGAAGATTCTGGATAGAGTGGGAGAACAATGTAGAACAAAACTCAAAACCATAAAAAAATGACCAGGTTTACTGGTGTGATAGAGCCTGGTAAGACGCCTGAGACTATGGCCTCTATTTACTCTTCAGGTCTGGAACTGAACTCACTCCTGTGGCTTCCAGCCAAACAACAGACAAGCATATGGGGTGAACATTTACATCTGGAGAGACACACTTCTTAGAACAATCAATAGTGGGAAAACAGAAGGGCAGTGTTTGAATAGGGAGATACCTTCTGGGTGGGAGTGCATGGGAGGGAAGGACACAGGAATAGTTAACTATAGAGAAGTAGGAAGAGAGCTGTTACATTGTAGGGAATTGCAGTCAATGCCATGCAACAAGATGTATATGAACTGCACTGCTGTATAGAAAATGAATTTGCTCTGTAAACTTTCACCCAAATCACAAAACAAAATTTTTTTTTTTAATTAGAATATTTGAAACTTGCTGTAAAGTGATTGGTATATTAGCATTTAAAAATAATTAACATCTACAGAAATGAAATTCCAGGCAGGGTCTGGGTGTGCACTCCTACTGAATACTATCTTAGTGAAATATTAGAAATGTATTAAATAGCAAGAAAAATATATTTTTAGAAGTAATTTTAGCTTTTAGATGAAAGGTATAATGTTAATAATAGCAAAGAAAAAGGAAATAATGGTAATAGAAATATATTGATTTATATGTATATTTTCATATATAGAGATGGGAAAACTTTCATTAAAAAAATCAGTGGCAGCTTTCTAACCTAATATAAATAGATATGATTTAAATGCTCTTTTGCAATGAGGTTTCTTTACTTGCTCAAAATACAGATTACACTAAACTCACTGCCATCAAATGGATTCTAACTCACAGTGACCCCCACTGGGTTTCCAAGGAGATAAATCTTTATGCAAGGAGATTGCCCCATCTTCCTCCCGCAGAGTGGCTGGTGGGTTTGAACTGCCAACCTTCTGGTTAGCAGTCAAATGCCTCCAGCATTGTGCCACCAGAGCTCCTTGAAATACAGATTAGGACAAAAATGAACTCCAGATGGATCAAAGACTTAAATGTGAAACCTAAAAGTATACAGTTCCTCAAGGAAAATTTAGGATCAAATTTAAGGGCCCTAATACATGGCATAAATAGACTACCAAGCATAATTCAAAATGCACAAACAGCAGAAGAGAAACCAGATGATTGTGACCTTCTAAAAATTACATTTTTATGTGCTTCCAAAGACTTCTCCAAAAGAGTCAAAAGAGAACCTACAG